GTGTGTGTGTGTGTGTGTGTGTGTGTGTGTATGTATCCACTGGGTGGGACAATACTGATCATTCTGCTGAGTGTGTGTGTGTGTGTGTGTGTCCATTCGGTGGGACAGTCTGCTGAGAGGGGGGAGGTCCAGGGTCTTACTTTCTCTGGTCAAGAACTAATGTCTTGGTGTGATGGATGCTGGTTGGGTCGTGGCACTCTGTCTTGGAATGGACTTGCTCACTTCCTGGGCCCTGGTTGCTCATCTGCAAGCCTGGCCTAACAGCATCACTTTCAGACATAGCCCAGAGCAAGTGCAACGTGCATGTCATATGACATCAGTACAAGAGTCAGTCTCTTCTGGTTCTAGAACCTTCTGTGGTTCCTTCAAAGACCGCTTCCCATAGCATACCACATTAGCTATAACATGAGTTTTCTTCTTCTCTTGCCCCAAATTCCATTTTTAGTCTCAGCGTGGTCAAACTGTAAACTCAAAAATGAGTCCATTCTTCAGGGTGCCCCTAGAGAGATGCCAAGACAAGAGGTTGGCCTAAGCAACTCAACAACCCTGATTGGGTCACCACAAGCCACGAGGCCTGGAGTGGGACCAGGCCAGCTCATACCTGGTAACACAGTAACTACTCTGTAGCTTATCACTACCCTGGTGTGCCGGATAGTTTTATGTTAACTTGACACAAGCTAAAGTCATCTGTGAGGAGGGGACCTAGTCCTACAGGCTTGCCTACAAGCTGTAAGGCATTTTCTTAATTAGTGATTGATGGAGGAGGACCAGCCCATGGTGGATGGTGCCATCCTTGGGCTGGTGGTCCTGGGTTCTAGAAGAAGGCAGGCTGAGCAAGCCATGGGAAGCAATCCAGTGAGCAGCTCCCCTCCATGGCCTCTGCATCAGCTCCTGCCTGCAGATTCCTGCCCTGCTTGAGTTCCTGTCCTGACTTCAGTGATAAACAGCAATGCTGAAGTGTAATCCAAATAAACGCTTTCCTCCCCAAGTTGCTTTGGTCATGGTGTCTCACCACAGCAACAGTAACTCTAAGTAGGACACCTGGCCTCTGTCCCATGAATGACGCCATCATTGTTCTTCTTCATCTCCAATAAAGTCCCTTCCCGTGTAAAGCATTGCGAGAGTCTCATCACCGATTCAGCTGTGGAGATGAAAGGGTGTACTGAGTTGGGCATGGGGGCGGTTGTTATCCGGCTACTGCAGAGTCTGAAGGAGGAGGAACAAAAGTTCAAGACTGTGCTACACAGTGACTTCAAGGCTAGCCTGGGCAACTTAACGAAACCCTGCCTAAAACTAAATAAATGATTGGGCCAGGGAGACAGCTCAGCCCATGAAAGAGCATGGCCTTGCAGCGTAGGCCTGATGACCCAAGCTGCATCCTCGGAACCCACATACAGGCCAGGTGCACCAGCGGCTTGCATCTGTAATCTTAGCACTCCTGTGGTGAGATGGGAGGTGGAGGAGATGTTAGCCTTGGCTGGAAGCTCATAGGCCAGCTAGCCTGGGGTACACAGCACAGAGGCAGAAACCAGAGAGACACTGCCTTGAAAGAAGAAAGGGAGGAAAAATGGTGAAGGGCTGGGGAGATGGCTAAGTGGTTAAACACTTGCTAGCGTGTAAGCATGAGGATCTGATTGCAGGTCCCCGGAGCCCAGGTAAGGGCTGGGCTGGGTGTAGGAGCCCACCCATAACTCCAGCCTTCAAAGGTAGAGACAGGACATCCCCATAGGAAGCTGGTTAGCGAGACTCAGCATATCTGCGAGCTCTGGGTTCGATTGAGAGACCCTGCCTCCATGAATAAGGTAGAAGAGTGATTGAAGATGGTTCCTGACACCAGCCTCAGGCCTCTGCACATGCACCCTCATACACGAAAACATGCATACACACATACACCTCTCTCTCTCTCTCTCTCTCTTCCTCTCTCGCTTACGCACAAAAATTGTCTCCCTACCTCCACCAGAATACCATGGAATGTGTGTACTTGCACTTAGACACACATACATACTCAAAAAAATAATTAATACATTTTAAAAATAAAAAGTGTATAAGGGAAGCCTGGGCATGCGTCATAAGAAAGTGTCCCCTACGTCATAAGAAAGCGTCCCTATTGAGAGCCTCTATACGTCTATGGAACACTGGCCAGGCTTCCTTGTCTTGTCTGAAGGTGATGAGTATTACTATAAAGACATCCCTTGGAGCTGAGGGTGGAGCTCAGTGGATAGAGATAGCACTTGCCTAGTGTGAATGAAGCCCTGGGTTCCATCTCCAGCACTGCGGAAACCCGGAGAGGTGATGCACGTCTGTCGTCCCAACACTCAGGAGGTTAAGACAGGAGGATCAGAAGTTCGAGGTCATCCTTGGCTATGTAGTGAGTTCAGGACCAGCCTGGGATGCAAGAGACCCTGCCCACCCGCGCCTCTCCAACAAGAAGCTAACCCCTGACAAGCAGCCTCCCGCTGAGGGGATGGGTTAGCCCTGCTGACAGTTCAGCCTACTTCCTGTGGGGAAGCATCTGGGGCCTCACCATGCCAGGTGGTCTGAAGGGCACAGCTGCAGAGCCTAGGTGGAAGGAGGCCTAAGTAGGGACCAGCTATGGAAAGACCAGTTGGGGGTGGGGGAGGTAGCAGGTCCCTAGAGAAGGCTGGGAGATGGGAAGAGGTGCTGTCTCTGGGGGGATCTTGAACGGAACCGGAATGAAGTCAGGGAGGACAAACCAGAGAAACAGATGACTACCAACCAAGGGGGGAGGCACAGGAAAGGGGTTGGGGGGCGGGCGTTGAGTCTTGGAGGAGAGAGGAGATAAAAACGATGCGCTGATAAACTAGGCATGATGGAGAACACTTGCAACCCCAGCACTCAGGAGGTGGAGGCAGGAAGGTCAGAAGTTCAAGGTCATTTTCAGCTACACCGTGAGTTCAAGTTCTGCCTGGGCCACATAAGACCCTCTCTCAAAACAAAACCGTAAGCCTGGAGTTTTGGCCTGAGAGACTGAGGCAAAAGGATCATGAGTTCAAGGCCAGGCTGGCCTACTTAGTGAGTTTCAGGACAGCCTGGGCTACCTAGTGAAACCCTATCTCAAAAACAAAAACAAAACCAGACAGGAAGCAGACCCTACCTGAGAGCTGGAATGGGGACCAGCCAGAAGGGCAGCATCCTCTCAGATGCGGGGCCACTCACTGGGCACCAGGGAGGCCAGAAGTCGCTGCTCCTTGGTCCCCAGGAGACTGTTCTCAGTTCCGACAGTTGGACACCCCAACTTCCCTGAGAGAGGTGTATGTCCGTCTCCCAGCTGCCCCTGGCTCCCTGACCGCCCAGCCTCCTGCTTGGCTCCCACAGCCTGGCTGTTCGGGCTCAGGGCCCCCTAGCTGCCACCTCCCCCGCAGCGCGGCCGGATGGTATGGTCTCCTAACGCATCTGCCTGTTTACATTCTCTCCAATGAAAAGCAGCTTTGTTTATGGAAAAGAGCTATTTTGGTTCGGAGTCTTCTCTTCAGCCCCTCATCTCTGGCAGGCAGATTGGCTGCTGCTCTCTTGAGGGGCTGAGAACAGCGGAGCCCAGCTCCAGCCCCTGGGGAAGGTGCCCCGCGGCTCCCATAGAGGAGTGCGGGGACCATCTATAGGCAGCCGTCAACGCCAACGAAGGCTGTGGACGCGGACGACGCACCTGTGAACCAGAGTCCAACACAATCAAGGGAAGCCTCGTAGCTAACCTAACAGGGATGGAGACCCTCTAAGGAAGCCCGCCCTTCGGAGAATTGCAACTCTGAGGGAATTGCAACTCCCCAGGAGTCTCC